ATATATCTTCCATTCTATCAAATGAGACCAAAAAAAACGAGAATGCAACCATAAAAGTCATTTGAAATTACCGCAAAAGGGTGGCTAATTGCTGAGAAGTGAACTCCATTATTTATGCTTAGATTTCTTTCAATTTTGGTGTACGTTAAGAAGCATCTTTCCATCATACATTGCCCAAGTTTCAATAAGATAGTCCAACAAATAATTGAGATACAATTCCCGAGATCAAGAGCAAGAGCCCCTCACCACTGTCAAGAAACCTGCTTTGAGGTCTGCTCGCTTGTGGAAATTTTGCTCACGTATAGAAGCAAAAAATCGACCCATCGACTGCTCGTATTTGGAAAAACTCGCAAGTGGACACGCTCATAAGTAGAGGTTTCACTGTACGTATTCGGAAATAGTAACGTTTTTTCATCAAAATATTGGCTTGATGATCGTCATTGAGCTTGGTAATAGTCATTTGTCCCAAACGCTTCCGCACGGCAACAGCAGCCTGACACTCAGTGTGTTGTTGTTAATCAGCCAGTGAGCACAATCCCACGCATTCATACAATACATTTCATATTATTCCATTATTTTTAGTGCTTGCAAGTAGTAAATAAGCCACCATGGGTCCCAAGGAAGTTCCTAGTGCCATCCAGCCCTTAGGTGAAGGGCTGAGAGAGAGGGTAGAATGTGCCTTCTTCAGTGATTCTGCGATATGTACAATACTAAAGCAGCAGGAGTCGATAAAGGCTATAGCGCCAGCCAGCAATAAGGTGTAGCATTAACAGTGTAGCAAGCAAATTAAGAGATTAATCGACAGAAAAAGGACAGCGCAAAACTGACTCCTCCAATATTGTTGGAGTTCTATAGGGTGACTGACAACACCGCCGTCTCTGCTGCCACCATCACCATCGCTATGTAAGGCTTATCTTTCAGTGGCCCTTATACACCCAACAACAAACAACACAGCATCACTCGTTGGTTAGGGAGAGAGACTTGACATATTTTATTCATTCTAGAGTATATATTTTTCTATGTTATTAATATTGTTTATTATGTCATGTTAGATGAATTGTGCTAGATAAATAAGCCATAGAGTTGATAGTGTCATATTGAAGGTCTATCTTGTCCTGTCTCTCAACACTCCCCTGCCGCCACCACAATTCCTAACGTATACCAGCGATGGGGTGCAGTGACTCAAGCTGGTCCTAGTGGCATTAACCCTTTGACTGTCGAGGTCGTATATATACGTCTTACGAGGTACCTTGTTTGACGTATATATACTCATAAATTCTAGCGGCTTCAAATCAAGCAGGAGAAAGCTGGTAGGCCCACATGTGAGAGAATGGGTCTGTGTGGTCAGTGTGCACCATATAAAAAAAATCCTGGAGCACGCAGTGCATAATGAAAAAAAAAAAACTCCGACCGTTTTTTTAATTAAAATGCCGACTTTGTGGTCTATTTTTGTACAGTGGACCCCCGCATAACGATTACCTCCGAATGCGACCAATTATGTAAATGTATTTATGTAAGTGCATTTGTACGTGTATGTTTGGGGGTCTGAAATGGACTAATCTACTTCACAATATTCCTTATGGGAACAAATTCGGTCAGTACTGGCACCTGAACATACTTCTGGAGTGAAAAAATATCGTTAACCGGGGGTCCACTGTATACTATTTATGGTTGTATTCTCGTTTTCTTGGTCTCATTTGATAGAATGGAAAACATATTATAGAAATAGAGGTGATTTTGATTGATTTTACTATAAAAAGAACCTGGAAATGGAGCTCAAAGTAGGGGAAATGTTTGATTTTTGCCGATGTTGAAAAGTAAACAAATGATGTCGTTGTCCAATAAATGTCCAACTAGCCATTCTAATATGCAGTCATGAATGGATTTATGTTATTTATACAATTATTACAGTATTACAGTAGTCTGCATAACAGTAAATCTTCTATTTTTTGTTTGAAAAAAAATTCGAAATAGAAAGCAAGAGTAATATCAAAGAGGCTTGGAGACGTGACTGATGAACAAAGAAAATGTTATTTTAGAGCCAGGAATGTCTGCATTGTTCATTCTGGACCTTATTTTTGAAATTGTCATATTTTTTAATTTTCGTGAAATTGGCCAAATTGCAAATTTCTGACCACGTTATTGGGTAGTTGAAATCGGTAAATAGGCAGTTTCTTGTACTCAATCGATAGAAAAAATGGAGTTCTAAAGAATGAGCTATGAGTTTGGCCGACTGGAACGAAGGAATTAGCCAAAAATAGGGCTCAAAGTGGGCGAAATCGCCAATTTGTAAATGTTGCCGAGGTTGCTAAATTCGCAAGAACATAATTCCGTCAGTTTTCCATCAAATTTCGTGTTTTTGGTGTCATTACAATCGGGAAAAGATTATCTATCATTTCATAAGAATTTTTTTTTTTTTTTTTTTTTTTTTGAAATTTTGCGACACCAGGAGACACTTCAGGATTGGGGGTTGCAACAGTCAAGGGGTTAAAAAACAAAGAAGGGAAGTAACCCAGGGAAAGGACTTCGTACCTAAAGTCTTTATGGAAGGGGATTCCCCTTCCAAACAATAGTAATTCTTCCATCCTTTCCCCTTCTCCCGTCTTCCTTACATCAATAAGTCTTCAATAAAGGTAAGTGTCATTTTATTATTGTTTTATTCTGCATGTCATTGTTTTCTGTGTAGGTAAATGTATATTTCATGTAAAAAAAATTTTTTAATGCTTTTGGGTGTCTAGAACGGATTAATTGGATTTACGTTATTTCTTATGGGGAAAATGAATTCAGAAATAGTCAGATTTGGGTTTAGTCACTCTCTCAGGAACAGATTAATTATAATAACCGGGGGTCCACTGCACTTTGCATAACCAGTGCTTTTTCAAAATGTATTAAATAAATGTCACCTTACTTTATTAAAGTTACCTGGTATACCTGGAGGGTATTCCAAGGGTCACTGCACCCATGGCCCGGTCCATGACCAGGCCTCGTAGTGGATTAGGGTCTGATCAACCAGACTGTTACTGCTGGCCGCACTCAAACCGATGTACGAACCACAGCTCAGCTGGTCAGGTACTGACTTTAGGTGCATATCCAGTGCCCTCATGAAGACAGCTAGGGGTCTTTTGGTATCCCCCTTATGTATATTGGGATGCAGTTGAACAGTCTTGGGCCCCAAACACTTAATGTGTTGTCTCTTAATGTACTCATGGCTCCAGTGCTTTTCATTGGGAAGATGTTGCACCATCTGCCGAGTCTTATTTTAATTTCAAGAGCTACTGGTCAGACCTTTTTTAACTGTAGCCTACAAATTTACATATCTTGATTAATTTTTATAGTTTTAACTTGTTTTTTTTTTTAACAAGTCGGCCGTCTCCCACCAAGGCAGGGTGACCCAAAAAGAAAGAAAATCCCTAAAAAGAAAATACTTTCATTATCATTCAACACTTTCACCTCACTCACACATAATCACTGTTTTTGCAGAGGTGCTCAGAACACAACAGTTTAGAAGCATATACATATAAAGAGACACAATATATCCCTTCAAACTGCTAATATCCCAAACCCCTCCTTTAAAGTGCAGGCATTGTGCTTCCCATTTCCAGGACTCGAGCCCAGCTATATAAAAATAACTGGTTTCCCTGAATCCCTTCACTAAATATTACTCTGCTCACACTCCAACAAATCGTCAGGTCCCAAATACCATTTGTCTCCATTCACTCCTATCGAACACGCTCATGCACGCCTGTTGGAAGTCCAAGCCCCTCGCCCACAAAACTTCCCTTACCCGTTCCTTCCAACCTTTTTGAGGACGACCCCTACCCCGCCTTCCTTCCCCTACAGATTTAAACGCTCTCCATGTCATTTTACTTTGATCCATTTTCTCTAAATGACCAAACCACCTCAACAACCCCTCTTCAGCCCTCTGACTAATACTTTTATTAACTTCACACCTTCTCCTAATTTCCACACTCCGAATTTTCTGCATAATATTTACACCACACGTTGCCCTTAGACAGGACATCTCCACTACCTCCAACCGCCTCCTTGCTGCTGCATTCACAGTCCAAGCTTCACACCCATATAAGAGTGTTGGTACTCCTATACTTTCGTACATTCCCTTCTTTGCCTCCATAGATAATGTTTTTTGTCTCCACATGTACCTCAACACACCACTCACCTTTTTTTTTCCTCATCAATTCTATGATTACCCTCATCCTTCATAAATCCATCCGCCAACACGTCAACTCCCAAATATCTGAAAACATTCACTTCTTTCATACTCCTCCTTCCCAATTTGATATCCAATTTTTCTTTATCTAAATCATTTGATACCCTCATCACCTTACTCTTTTCTATGTTCACTTTCAACTTTCTACCTTTACACACACTCCTAAACTCATCTACTAATTTTTGCAATTTTTCTTTAGAATCTCCCATAAGCACAGTATCATCAGCAAAAAACAACTGTGTCAATTCCCATTTTGTATTTGATTGTCCATAATTTAATCCCACCCCTCTCCCGAACACCCTAGCATTTACTTCTTTTACAACCCCATCTATAAATATATTAAACAACCATGGTGACATTACACATCCCTGTCTAAGACCTACTTTTACTGGGAAGTAGTCTCCCTCTCTTCTACACACCCTAACGTGAGCCTCACTATCCTCATAAAAACTCTTTACAGCATTTAGTAACTTATCACCTATTCCATATACTTGCAACATCTGCCACATTGGTATCCTATTGTTTACAATTCCTGTGGTATTTGCCAAACTCATAATTTTAGAGAACTCCATATATTTGTAATATTTTTAGTCCTAGTCTAGGTTGTTTGTAATGGTGTGCATACAACGGACTTTTGAAGTGATAGGTTTATGTATAGGGGTTTGAAAATAAAAATTTTAACTTATATTTTTAATTAGGTATGTAATACATAATTTTTGAATTGTATTTTACAGACAGTATTGGTATCACTAAATTTAAAAATAAATTCCAGGTGTATGTTGGTGAAGCGACTGCTGCGTGGGTTACAGTCTGCCATCATGTCTGACAAATACAATGTTGCCTTTGTACTTGGTGGTCCTGGTGCAGGTAAAGGCACTCAGTGTGAAAAAATTGTTAAGGTAAGGGATGTTAGTGTATCACATGGTAATTGCAGGTTTAGTGCTAGGAATGTCTGCATTGTTTATTCTGGACCCTATTTTGAAATTGGCATCCCTTGAAATTTGAGTGAAATTGGTCAAATTACCAATTTTTGACCACTTTATTGGATAGTTGAAATAGGTAAATGGGCAGTTTCTTGTGCTCAATCAACAGAATAGAAGGAATACTAGCGAAATAGCTACGAGTTTGGTCAACTGGAACAGTGGGATGGGCCAAAAATAGGGCATTAAGTGGGTGAAATTGCCAGTGCGTAAATGTCACCATTGGGTTGAGTGTATTCTAACCTAGCCACTCTGTAATCCGGCAAAATCACTAGTCTGGTACCCTACAGGTCCCGATGGTGCCGGATTAGTGATAGTCAACCTGTATTAGAAGTATAATTCAAGAGTCCGAGGGATTTGTTTGGTCATGATGTACAGAAAGAGTAGACCAAGACTCTTAGTATGTATACATATCTAATTGGGAACTGGCTAACAAGTAGAAAAATTCTTAATTTAATTTTCAATACCAGTTAGCATTTTTATAATTTTGTTTCTGCTCTTGTATCTAATTTTGACTTTCATATTTTGTAGGAATTTGGATATGTTCATCTGTCAGCAGGAGATCTGCTTCGGGAAGAGCGGGCTAAGCCAGGAAGTGAATTTGGAGATATGATTGAAGAACATATTAAGAATGGTACAATTGTTCCTGTTGAAATTACTTGCTCTCTCCTTGAACGTGCTATGAAGGTACAGCATTAAGTGGATTTCTTTGATTATGTCTGTATTTCTGTTGGTCTGAAGAAGGGGAAAGTGATTAATGTTGAGTATACATGGTAAGGTATATGGTAGATTTATTACTGTAAGAATTAAGAGTGAGACAGAAAGCAGGATAGCAGATGAACAAGAAGGCTTTAGGAAGGGTAGGGAATGTGTAGACCAAGTGTTTACAATGAAGCATATAGGTGAACAGTATCTTATTGCATTTATGGATTTGGAAAAGGCATATGATAGGGTGTATAGTAGAGCAATGTGGTAGAAGTTGAAAGTATATACAATAGGTGGTAGGCTACTGGAAGCACCTAAGAGTGTGTTTACGAGGATAGTGAGGCTCAGATTAGAGTATGTAAGAGAAAGGGGGATCATTTCCCTGTAAAAATAGGCCTTAGACAGGGATGTGTGATGTTGCCATGGTTCAATATATTCATAGATGGGGTTATAAGAGAAATGAATTCTCAGGTGCTGGGAAGAGGTGTAAGATTAAAAGATAAAGAATCTAACACAAAGTGGGAGTTGTCATAGTTGCTTTTTGCTGGTGACACTGTGCTTTTGGGAGATTCTGAAGAGAAGTTGCAGAGGTTGGTGAGCAAATTGGGAAGGATATGTACAAGAAACTATAAGTGAGCATAAAAGAGAGCAGGGTAATGAGGATAACCAAAAATTTAGGTAATGAAGATTGGTTATCGGATTGGAGGAAGTGAATGTGTTCAGATATTTAGGAGTGGACCTGTCAACAGATAGGTCTATGAAAGGCAAAGTGAACCATAGAATTGACGAGGGAAAAAAGGTGAGTGGTGTATTAAGGGGAATGTGTCAGAATGTAGTGGTACCAACACTCATATATGGATGTAAAGCATGGGTTTTAAATGTTGCAGCAAGTAGGGGCTGAAGGTAGTGGAGATGTCATGTCTGAGGGTAATGTGTGGTGTGACTAACTGTTATGCAGGGAATTCGTAGTTTGGAAATTAGGAGGAGGTGCAGGATTACTAAAAGAATTACCCAGGGGGCTGATTAGGGGTTATTGAGGTGGTTTGTACATCTAAAGAGAATGGAGCAAAATAGAATGACTTGGAGGATGTATAAATTTGTAGTGGAGGGAAGGCAGATTCAGGGGTCATCCTAAGAAAGGCTGGAGGGAGGGGATAAAGGAAGTTTTATGTGCTTGTACATCCAACAGGCATGTGAGAACATGTTAGAAAGAAGTGAATGGAGGCAAGTGGTTTTTATGATTTGACTTGCTGTTGGAGTGTGAGCACAGTAACATTTATGAAGGGATTCAGGGAAACTGGTTAACTGGACTTTACTCATGGAGGTGGGAAGTACAGTGCCTGCACTTTGAAGGAGGGGTGGAAATACTGAAGTTTTGAGAGGCATCTGAGCCATTATGTCAGCACACCTCTGACAAGACAGTGATGGAGTAAGTGATAGTGAAAGTGTTTCTTCTTTTTGGGTCACCCTACCTCGGTGGGAGACAGCTGGTGTGTTATAAAGAAAAAATGGACCTCAACACTGATGTCGTAATATTTAGTTTTTTTTTTTTAACACATTGGCCGTTTCCCATCGAGGCAGGGTGACGAAAAAGAAAGAAAGAAAAAAAAGCTTTCATCACCATTCAACACTCACCATCATTCACACGCAGTCACTGTCTTTGCAGAGGCGCTCACATACGACAGTTTGGATTTCCTTCCAAACAGCCAGTGTCTCAAACCCCTCCTTCAAAGTGCAGGCATTGTACTTCCCACCTCCAAGACTCAAGTCCGGCTAACCAGTTTCCCTGAATCCCTTCGCAAAATATTTCCCTGCTCACACTCCAACAGCTCGTCAGGTTCTAAAAACCATTCGTCTCCATTCACTCCTATCTAACACCCTTACACACTCTTAATGGAAGTCCAAGCCCCTCTCCTTCAAAACCTCCTTTACCCCCTCCCTCCAACCTTTCCTAGGATAATCCCTACCCCGCCTTCCTTTCCCTACAGCTTTATACACTCTCCAAGCCATTCTACTTTGTTCCATTCTCTAAATAACAAAAAAGGCACAATACCGTGACTGGAACGATACACAAATAACCCGCACATAAAAGAGAGAAGCTTACGACGACGTTTCGGTCCGACTTGGACCATTGACAAAGTCACACTAACCAGAGGTGGAGCAGGACGGCTATATATAGGCAGGAAGAGGTGGTGGTAGTAGTAGTAGTAGTAGTACAAGAATTGTATATAATACCGACAAGATGAAATTAAGACACATGCACAACACCCGGGTATCCCCATCGTAGACGTTTCGCCATCCAGCCAGCCACTGGATGGCAAAACGTCCACAACAAAGACAACCAGACGCCGCACATGTGTCTTAATTTCATCAGTAGTTGTAGTAGTAGTAGAGGAAGAAGAGGTAGTAGTAGTGGTAGAAGTGGGAAAACGAGCCAGTCAAATACAAAGGAAGGGGAGCACTGCAAGAGAGCTATATGCCTACAGAGGGAGAGCAAGCGCACAGAGGTGCGTGAAAGGGGAAGTGGTGAAATACAGTGGACCCCCGCATAACGATGGCATCACATAGCGATTTTTCCGCATACCGATTACTTTTATCGCAAAATTTTTGCCGCGCATACCGATTAAAAACCCGCTTACCGATTTTCGTCCGAGACGCGTCCAATGTGCCCTCACATGTGCCAGCCGTCCCATTGTTTACCAGCCAGCCTCCGCGGTAACATCCAAGCATACACTCGGAATATTTCGTATTATTACAGTGTTTTCGGTGCTGTTTCTGGAAAATAAGTGACCATGGGCCCCAAGAAAGCTTCTAGTGCCAACCCTGTGGTAAAAAGGGTGAGAATTAGTATGGAAATTAAGAAAGATTTTGAAGGGTTTGGGGCTAACCCTGAGAAGCCTATGCCAGTTGTGGAATCCATTGTGCCTACTTCAAAGATTAAGGAAATGTGTGCACAGTGGGTTGAACTGCAAACCTTTATAGATGAAAATCACCCTGACACAGCTGTTGCAAGCCGTGCTGGTGACTATTTCAATGACAATGTTATGGCCCATTTTAGGAAAGTCTTGAAGGAACGGGAGGTACAGAGCTCTATGGACAGATTTGTTGTGCGACAGAGGTCCAGTGACTCTCAAGCTGGTCCTAGTGGCATTAAAGAAGAAGGGAAGTAACCCCAGAAAAGGACTTGCTACCTCAAGTCCTAATGGAAGGGGATTCCCCTTCTAAACAGTAAGAAGATAATGCTCTCCCCTCCTCCCATCCCATCAATCATCACCAGATCTTCAATAAAAGTAAGTGTCATGTAATTGTGCATGCCTTTTTCAGTTTGTGTGTATTAAAATTAACATTTCATGTGGTAAAAAAAAAATTTTTTCATACTTTTGGGCGTCTTGCACGGATTAATTTTATTTCCATTATTTCTTATGGGGAAAATTCATTCGCATAACGATTATTTCGCATAACGATGAGCCCTCTTGCACGGATTAAAATCGTTAACCGGGGGTCCACTGTAAATGAAGAAGGAACAGAAACACGAGACAGGAGAGAGAAAGACAACCCAGAGGAGAAAAGGAAAGAGGAAAGGGGAAGAGGAAGAAGAAGAAAAAGAAAAAGAAAAAGAAAAAGAAAAAATGAAGATTCAGGTTAAATCATGGGTGTTCTGAAGTTTGGAGCATTTTACAATGTAGTGGGAGAGGAAGGCATCTACAGAGACGAAGCCAGGGCTAAGGTTCATACAAGGAAAGTTGTGTATTAGAGAGGATTCAACTAGACGGCGACTGTTCGAGTTGGAAGTAGGGAAGGCAGTTTTAGCAGAAGACCAGTCAATAGGATGGCTATGATCTCTGACGTGACACCCCTCAAGGAAGGTTCCTTGATGTTGGTGAGGGGCTCTTGATTTAGGGAATTGGATCTGTGCTCCAGTTCCCCAAATTAAGCCTGAATGCCTTCCACATCCCCCCCAGGCGCTGTATAATCCTCCGGGTTTAGCGCTTCCCCCTTGATTGTAATAATAATAATCTGACGTGACAGAAAAGAGCATTGTTAGTGTCGGCAAGCCTAACACTATTTTTGTGCTTCCCAAGTCTGTCAGAAAGAGATCGACCAGTTTCTCCGAAGTATTGAAGAGGACAGGAGGAGCAAGAAATAGAGTAGACACCAGGAACATCTGTAGAGGGAGGAGAGGTATGAACGAGATAAGTGCGAAGAGTGTTAGTCTGGCGGAAGGTAAGCTTGATGTCTAAGGGACGGAGAGAATTGTTAAGATTAGAAAGACCGGAAATGTAGGGAAGGCAGAGGATAGAAGAGTTCCCATGAGTAGAGAGTTTGGGAGAGAAGAAATTGCGTTTAGCATGTGAGAGGGCAGAGTCTATGAAATGGGAAGGGTAACCAAGATGGGAGAACAAATTATGAAGAGTGGAAATTTCTGCTGGAAGGAACTGAGGATCACAGATGCGGAGGGCATGGAGAAAGAGGGAGATAAGAACACTTTTCTTGACAGGGGAAGCATGATAGGAAAGGTAGTGAATGTACATGCCACTGTGCATAGGTTTACGGTAAACGGAAAAGGAAAAACCTGTATCTGAGCGGTGGACATGGACATCAAGGAAAGGAAGCAAGGAATTAGATTCCCTTTCAGCTTTAAACTTATTGGAAGGGGTAAGATTATTAAGAGCTTCAAGAAAAGGTTGGAAGAGACTGGAGTCATGAGGCCACAGAGCAAAGATGTCATCCACATAGCGGAGCCAGAGTGAAGGTTGCACATCGAGGGTAGGAAGAAAAACAGTCTCGAAGTATTCCATGTAAAGATTAGCAAGGACAGGAGAGAGAGGAGAGCCCATAGCGACACCGAAGGTTTGAGAATAATATTTCCCTTGGAAGGAAAAGGAGTTAGAGTCCACACAGAGGTGGATCAGATCAAGAAAGACATCAGTGGGGATAGGGAGATGAAGAAACCCTTCATGGGCCTTCTCTCTAAGAAAATCAAGGACATCATCAAGAGGGACATTGGTGAAGAGGGACTCAACGTCAAGACTAAGCATCTTACAGGTTGGGAGAGAGCGAACCCGTTCAATGAAGTCTTGAGAGTGACGGAGGTGGGCAGGAGAAAAAGTACCAAGAAAGGGAGTGAGGGTTTTGGCCAGCCAAGAAGCAAGAGAATAAGAGACAGAACCTCTAGAGGATATGATAGGACGAAGAGGAATATCAGGTTTATGAGTTTTGGGAAGGCCATAGAAATAGGGAAGAGAGGGACAGATGACACGAAACCGTTGAACAAGGTCAAAGTCAGGAGGACAGAGGTCGGAGAGAGTCCTTAGTTTTTTGTTGAAAGTTCTCTTGATGCGATCAAGAGGGTTGGAAACGAGAGGAGTGTAGATGCGTGAGTCAGAGAGCAAGACATCAGCTTTACGGAGGTAATCCTCGCGATCAAGGATAACTACGATGGGGATGCCCGGGTGTTGTGCATGTGTCTTAATTTCATCTTGTCGGTATTATATACAATTCTTGTACTACTACTACTACTACCACCACCTCTTCCTGCCTATATATAGCCGTCCTGCTCCACCTCTGGTTAGTGTGACTTTGTCAATGGTCCAAGTCGGACCGAAACGTCGTCGTAAGCTTCTCTCTTTTATGTGCGGGTTATTTGTGTTCCATTCTCTAAATGACCAAACTACCTCAACAGCCCCTCTTTAGGCCTCTGACTAATACTTTTAGTAACTCCACACCTCCGAATGAACCCATTCTAAAACCTTCAGCTGTGATGGACTACACCCTCAATATGCACTCAGTGGACAAATGTGGCATGCAAATTGGGTTTGCTGATTGTGTTCGCAAGAGTATATAAGTGGTACATAAAACTCTTTTTCCATCTTCTGAACATTTCCATGCTCAATGTTTATAATATGTATGAGGACCAGCAACAAACCACCATATGGCAAATTTTGTTTGTCTGTCATCAGACAAATAATATTCAAGCACCAAGTAACAACACCTGCAATAAAAAACCGCCCATGAAATTATCACCAAATGCCATCCTGTTTGAGGCCTGGTGATGACTACCTAATTCATCTGCCTCCTACTAAGAAGAAATTTGCTCAGAAGAGGTGTTCTGTCTGTGCACATACAACAAAATGCCCACAAAAATGCAGATACACTCATTTTGTGTGTGAAGAGTGTAAAACAGTGCTGTGCATAACACATTGTTTCAAAGAGTTCCACAAGCTGCAGCACTTCTAGGAACATGTCCAGTGACTCTGTATGTATATCCATATATATATATTATTATAGAACAATAGTAATAGACAACTTTTTTTATTGCTGGTTTGTGTAACCAAGTTTTGTAAACAGTATAATGGTAATGGTTGTGTGGTTATTGTGTTGTGTACAACGAGTGGAATGATTTTAATCCGTTCCAGAGAGCTTGTCCTTAACCGATTTTATCGTTAGCTGAATTAATTTTCCCCATAAGAAATAATGGAAATCCAATTAATCCATTCCTGCTGTCAGCAGCTGAACTAGAAGTGACCTATGGATGTGAATGAAGTAAATGGTGGTGAAGGCAAATTCGAACGTTATAGAAGTAAGGATGCTTTGAAAAAAGAAAAAGGATTTCAAAGGAGGCTTGCTGCAAGAAACAACAAGAGCAACAACAGCCATCGCAGAACGGTTACGCTTGATTTCCCTGCTAACAGTGAGTTTGAGGTCAAGTTTAGATGGTTTTACGAAGCTACACTAGACAACCCAGAAGAAAACCTTCGGATTCGCTTTCGTCATGACAAGGATAATTACATTTTTGTTACTAACTACCCAGCATTCATAGAAAAAACTTCTTACCATATAATATGTAAATCCAACTCCAAGCTGCCCCACCAAGATCACCTAAAGTGCTTATTGTTATCCACAATGTCAATAAGTACTTGGATCCTAAATTCCTATTGTCAGATCAAGTTGCAAACTCTCGTCGACTTCCAAATGATCTGATATTGGCTGAGTGGATTGGCCAAGGGACTCCACCATCATATATCTACTCTCGTGCAGCGCTTAACAGGAGTTACGAAATAGCTTTGTACAAACCACCTCACTGTAGATGCTACAAGTGTCAGCGCTGGGGTCACATTGCTTGGAAATGCCCAGCTAAGCCACACTGGTGTGCAGTGTATGCCAAGGCCCATCCTTCTCACCAGTGCTATGATATGATCAAGAAACACCAGACCGTTGCATTACAATGTATCAATTGTAAGACTCCAGGAGTCACAGCTGCTCATGCTGAGCAGAGTGAAAGCTGCCCACATCGCCAGCCGCAGGGCTCCCGCCTCACCCATCACTCCCCATGATGAGGCAGTAGGCCTACGAGATACTTCATGTCTGAATATTCACCCATGCCTGATTTCAGACAATGTGGTTGAGCGAGTCACCCTGGGAGTACATCAACAGAGCACGATCATGTCTGCTATCAACACTAGTAATGCTGCTGGTGTTGACACCACCTGTCTGGCTGAGTCAGCTGTCAGTCAGCCACCTGGCTCAGCTGACCGGGACTTCATACCTCCAGATGAAGCTAGTCTTGCTGGAGTGGTACACAACATGCAGCTGCCCATAACAGTACTGGAGAAGCAACAATGGTGTTTGAAACAACAACTTGAGCACCACGAGGAAAAACTTAGAGGTTGCAAATGAGTACATGAACCCACAGATTGTCAGCCATTATGAAAATGAGTGTGGTGATGATGAACAAACTGATGATTGCAGTGGTGTTAGTAATTACAAAAATGATGAATCTGATAGTGGCGTTTACAATCACAGTGAAGATGATAAGGGCAGTGAAGACCATCATGATAGTCAAATTGATGAGTGTAATGTATTGATAGATACTGAGTGTGGATGACCCGGTTGTCGATAATGGTGTATGCATCACTGGTCATAATGATGAGGGAAGTGGTACATGCGATGATAGTGATGAGTGTAATAAAAGTGGAGAGGTGAGTGCGAGGGATAGTGTCACCTTCCATACATTCACAGACAAAGAATGCCGTGACCTCTGTAAACAAAGACTCCCAAGAGGTCTCCATAGTGGAAGTGCACTTAAGAAACTCATGGATAAGGATAATACTGATGATATTGATATTGATTATGTCTGTTTGCTATTTAGTAAGTTTTTTCATTTTGCTGAGAAATTGAATTCTATCCCTGGACTTTTATAATGCAACCAAACTGGTATAAACTATCCATTTTAAGTTGGAATATTGCGTCACTTAGAAAAAGATTTTCTGACCTTCATCATAAAGTAACTACTGAATCCATTGGTATTGTGTGTCTACAAGAGTGCAGAAAAAGATTTTCTGACCTTCATCATAAAGTAACTACTGAATCCATTGGTATTGTGTGTCTACAAGAGTGCAGAGTCCCTGAAAAATCCCAACCCCCTAAATTGCCATCATTTGTTGCTTATAACCTCAAATCTACTAACTCTTGTGTTCTATATATTAAAAAATCACTTCCCCATCAACTTCTTGCACATAAGAAAACAGAGGGGCTACAGTATCACGGTGTTAGGATTTATATTGGGAGCTCTGCTGCCAACATATTTAACTTGTATGCTCCTGCTGATAAGTTTAATTACTTGGAGCTCCCAACTTGTGCTCAGTATGAACCTACTCTTATTATTGGTGATTATAATGCAAGACACAAAATCATTGGAAACTCTCAGTTTGGTAATCGTAATGGTAATCAACTGTTGTCACTCTTAAACAGTCATGATAATGTACAAATTGTAGGTGACCTTGAACCCACACATATCTATGGAGGCATCCTTGATCTGTGCCTGGGTTTCAACATTACTTCTGCCAGCTGTGAGTCTTCCATTGTAACAGATATATCATCAGATCATTTCCCAAGGCTAACCTCCCTAGATATTGGTAATACGTACTATCCTCCCTGGTGAGATATTCAAACAGGAACGTTTTAATGTTCCCCCTGATCAGCATGATGACTTTGTTGCACATGTGACTGACTGGTATAATTCCTATGAGTGTACCTCAGTCGAGACTTTTAACAATGACCTTGTGAGCAGTATTCAGAACTTCTTAGAGCCGCCTCTGAAACCTCCTACTACTCTAAATCCAAATGACTTCCATAATAATCATAAGTCTTATAAAAACCATACCTATTACAATGATTCTAAACTTCAAACATTGAAACGTACTGCTCACAGACTAGGCCTAGCCTATAGAAACCATCGTACCCCTGAAATGCTGAGCCTCTTCCAAACTGCCCTTGCTGCTGCCAGAGAGTGTATGACAGAGCTGCGGCAAACAGACTGGGAACAATTTGTCAATGGTCTCAATGCTCACACCCCACTTAGCCGGGCATGGAGGGACATAAATAGAATTAAGGGTAACAGAACTGGGCAGATCGCGCACCCTCATCCCTTGCATTGGGCGAATGAGTTAGTCAGTGCTTGGGCTGCTACATCTAGCTATGACAATCTTCCTAGTACCACACAGGCAAAATTAAATGACAAATATGATGCAAGGGAGAGACTTGTTTGCTTTATGCCCAGCAAAACAGATGACTGCAACATTCCTTTCTCTAATTATGAACTTGATGCAGCACTAACTAAGGGCAACTCCACGTCACCTGGTGAGGATGGTATTACTTACAACATACTCAGATTGCTGTGTTGAGTACCAGGTAATCCTTTACTTGAATTATATAATGAGCTATGTCACTGGGAAGCTCCCTAAATCATGGACCAACAGCCTCATTATTACCATTCCGAAGCCCAATCAACAAAACTCATTTCGCCCAATATCCCTTACTAGCTGCTTGTGTAAAACATTCAAAAGGATGATTCTTAATCGTCTTATGCACAGAATTAAGGAATTCTTGTCTCCCCGGTTGCATGGCTTCATGCATGGAAGGAGTGTGCATCATTGCATTACCACCTTTCTCACTCTGCACACTGACAGCTCATACACTACCTTCCTTGACCTTAAATCCGCTTTTGATGTAGCCAACTGACATGTAATCATTAGTGAACTTGCCAGAATGGATGTTGGAGGATGGCTTCTCCACTGGATTAAAGGTTACCTGTCCAGCAGAAAGTTGTCTGTGTTGTTCCAGGGACATAGAAGTGTAACTAAAGATTTTGAATTAGGAACCCCACAGGGAGGTGTGCTTAGTCCCACCCTTTTCAATATTCTGATTAATGCCTTACTTAATGCTATGCCTAGCCAGCCCCATCATTATGTGGTTAGTTTTGCTGATATGATGATTCACACCACCGGATTCTCCAACACCCAAAACATTCTTAATCATGTACTAGCCTCGTGTCAGGACCTGGGGTTAATCTCAGGGGATAAAACAAAGATACTCAACAGGCGTCCTCCTCGACAGAGATGCACAGTTCGTCAGATCCAGTTGCATGATGGGTTTCTTCTAGAATAT